TCTCGTGAGATATGTATAAATAAAATGAAGTCGCGTTTTCGTATTTGGAACGCTCGATTGACTTTCTAAATTTGTATATCGAATGGAGAAGAGTCACTTTCACCCCGCTATTGATAAGATGCATCGCTTAGCCACACATAAACAGTGCTATATAGAGAAAACATTTCACAGTGTCACGAATATCGCAAAGATCAATTTCAAAATCTCTCGGAATTATATATATATCCTATCGCTTTCGATCAGCCCTTGTGTATTGCATTCATTTTCACAAAGAATGAAACAAATTTCATTTTTATACAACATACTAAATCACTTTTTTAATTTTAATCTTCAAAATCAATATGATTTTATTTATAGATTACTATATATATATATATATATATATATATATATATGAAATTAGAAAATAAAATACCGGAAATAAAATCCAATGGGGTTAAGGAGCACAAATGACGGACATGAAATGTGACTATGTATCACATTTATTGCACCCGACATTATAGCAGCCGGATTTCCCGACCTGATTGGTGGATAGAGTTGGCCAAGTGAGGAGTTGAGTTATACTGCAAATAAGCCTGTTATCTCGTCTAGGCAAGTTCCAACATTCAATTTGCATTCCAATATGCGATTCACCGGGGGCAGGTTATTAGTAAAGGCACATTCATTTATCGATGCTCATGCACATTGCATACAATATTATTCGAAGAAGAAATAATAAAACATACAATTTATGATGAATTGAACTTATTTTCTTTGGCTCCTTGTCACTCTCCTTTTAATATCCTCGCGGGCAAAAAAGATCCTTATATAAATCAACTAAATTTTTTCAAAAAAAGATATATATATATATATATATGGCAAAACAATGGAATATTTCTGACCAAACCTAATATTTTGCCTGAGCCTCCTTATTTGGAATGTTTTTCGAAGCGTGAGTTTCAAGTTTATCGAACCTCATGAAGAATCCGCCAAAGGACGTCATAACGGCACTGATGGTCGAATATATATATACGTGAGCGAGTAATACACGTGAGGTAAAGAATAATAAAGAGCGGTAAAAGTAATGTTTCGAGGTGAAAACACTATTATGTCGGTCATAAGATAAAACAGAATATTTATTTCGAAACAATTGCACCAGTTAGAGAGAGAGAGAGAGAGAAGGAATATTTCCTTTATAATCAAAAAGGAGAGGTATAACCATCTTTTTAAAACTGTAAAATCTCTTTAAGTTCTAAAATTATATACGACAAATGCATAAATACCTATATTTGAAAATTTCATTTATCCAAATGATCATTAAAATTTTTCATAACGAGCACACAATTACAGTTAAATATATTTTCGAAAAATAAAAATGTTAACAGTAAAATATATATGTTTTTTTCACTTTGGAAAAATTTTTTTTATAAATTCCAAAATATCTAGATCGATTTTGATCTTAATCAAAATAGTAACTAAAAATGTCACTTTCAGTTAGAGAATTTATGAGTAAACTTTCTCAAACCTGATTATTAAAATTTTTCTCCAATAATTAAATTTTATTTATGAATCAATTTTCTTATCTTTTTCATCCATAATTTTTAATAGACAGGTTTTATAGAAGAGAGGACTATTTATTGCTTATTAGTAAAAGTTGGATTAAAAAAAAAAAAAAAAAAAATGTCAAAAAACACGTGTTCTAATTAAAATTCGTTTCTAATTCGAAAAATTGCCAAGAATTTTGGGTAAAAAAAAAAAAAACGATAAATTTTTTTGGATTGCATCTTTTCTCCAATGCAAAAATGCACATATATTTATGTTCATTTGTAATACGCGGGCCAACGCATGTTTATATTTCTCGGTGGTGTATATATGCATGCCTCGTATCGCGAGTTTTACGATCAACGTACGGTACATAACCTCTCTCTCTCTCTCTCTTTCTCCCCAAAAAGTCGAAGATGTCACTAAGGTTAATGTTCCCTCTCGTATATACGATCTTGAAAAAAAAAAGAAGAAACAACCTCAGCAAATTGTCATCTCAATTGTGTCCAATTTTTAACCCGTTATTTTGCCTCCTCCTTTGTCACAAAAGAAATAAAACGTCACCGTATTTTTTATGGTAAAATTCTCCGAAAAAAAAATTATACTTTCTCAAATTTTAAAATTTTAATAATTTAAAAAAAAAACAAAAAAATATTCACCTAGAATAGCGATTTTACTAAAACAGCGAAAGTTTTCGCTATTCTAGAGAAATATATTGCTGTTCCAGAGAAACTTATCGTTGTTCCAGGTAAAGTTTTTTTTTCTCCGAAGCACACTGCAAAAAAAACTTATTTGATTCAAATAATTTGTTCCTTGACTATTATCAAATAAATATTTATTTGATCCAAATAATTTTTATTTGTATTAAATAAACTGTAATTGAAGCAATAATTTATGTATTTGAAACAAAAATATATATTTGATTCAAATAATAATTATTTAATACAAATAAATATTTATTTGATAATAGTCGACGTAACCGATTATTTGAATCAAATAAATTTTTTTTTCCAGTGAAAATAACAGCAAAAGAGAAAAAACAATTAGATTTAATACAAATAATATTGCATAATCCACATTTTAAAAATTCAAATCTGATACGAATTAAAATATATTTTTAATCTTGATTATACGAGACATTCGTGAAATGTTGCGACTACAAATATAAAAACGTAAAGCGCGTGTGGTTGTTAATCTTTAATCAATATATATATATTCCAAAACAGAAATGCGGAAGACAAAGCTTTTTATGTTTCGTAAATTTAAAACAAATTCTTATCGTTAAAGTTCAATTAATTTTCCAAGACATAACCTGATTTTCAAAAATTTATATAACTCGGAAACAGCCCCCAAATTTTTTTTTTTTTTTGAAAGCCTCACTCTAAATCACTTTCTATTACCAAAAAAAAATTTTTTTTTTATTTTTATTTTTTTAACCAACCGGTTTTGCCAGGTTCTCGTTTCGCGTTCGAAAATCGATGAAGAATGAAATTGAGCATCTCTTCGAGATGGAAGTGTGTGTGTGTAGCTACACAAAAGGCAACCTTGCCAAGTTCATTGAACCGGTAAAATTACTCATGTATGATAATATCTGTCTTTTAATCTTTCAAGATCAGCATCCTTTCAGAATTCAGCTTGACTCACAAGAAAAAAAAAAAAAGTTAATGACAAAATGATGCGACTAATTTCGCACATCAAAGTACGACAAAATAAAAAAAAGAATGATAAATTATTGTGTAAAACCTCAAATTCTACCAAAGAATATAAAAAAAATTAATTTTTATTATATTTAATGGATCCTACAAAAAAGAAAATACAAATTTAGATTTTTAAATGTCTTTCAAAAGATAAATTTGAAAATAAAAACTCGAACCCCTTGTTAATTGATTTTCATAATTTATCATTTACTTTAACGCCTTTTTATCACAAAATAGCAAAAACTAAAAATAAAAAAATAAATAAAAACTAACACAGTTTTATTTCTTCTAATAAAATTATTTCAATAACAATTGAAAAAATTGTTTTCCGCCTACAGAAAAAAAAATATATATTTTTAAAATTTCTTATTAAATTTATTGTAGTTTATAAATTCAAATTACAAATTCCATATTAAGAAAAGAATGCTGACTAGACAGAAAAGTTTCAATTAAAGGGAAAAGTTTTACTCGATCAGCTGAATTCCACAATAGCATTAAATTTCATTTTGTTAAAATAATGTTTTTTTTTTAAATACTCGCTTTAATTAAAAAGAACGTTAAATTAATTTAATCTAAAAGCTAGGCTAACCGATTGGTTAAAAAAAACAATCTCGTTTGTTTTTAGAACACAAAATTGTTACTTGAAAATAATTTATTACTGAAAGATTATATTGTTTGCGCCACGCAGAATAGATATCAACAAAAAAAAAAATTTTTATTTTCTTTAAAGTTCTATCACAGGTGATAAGAGAGAATAAAAATCGAGAAACTATTTTTTTATTGATTACCGTCGCTCACGGGTGATGTTGCATATATAATTGAAACAGATGCAATTTTCAATAGACATTGATCGTGATCATATATTTGTATTATATGCACTTGAAACTGGACTTTATGCCTCGGAGTAAGAAAGAAATTAAAAAAAAAAAAAAAAAAATACCATTTGAAATTATTTTGTAATCGCTATAATAAATTTTAGAAATACAATAGAAAACTTTTTCAAAAGTTATAAAATTAATTATATATTGCAATAAATAAATTTTGTTTTAAATTGTTGAATAATTAATTGTAGACAGAATGAATAAAATAGAAAATTTCTTAGCTGGAAGCGCTATATGTAATTAAGGACAGTCGAGAAATTTAAAATTCTAAAGATGTTTACTTTTTCTTTTCCTTAAGTAACAGCTAATCGTTGATTTATGAAAAGCTTATAGTGAAAAACGACATCTGGTTATACCAGGCAAGACATTTTTTTTAAAAAAAAAGATTCAACTTGTTAATTACTGCCAGAGTCATTAATAAGATAATAGGAATTATATATTCTTAAATAGGGAAAAAAACGATGAGAAACAATTTAAAAATAGTATAGAAATTAAGAAAATCTAAAAAATTTAGGTTAAGTTACTATAATTGTAGCCGACTCAACAAAACGGAAGAGCATGCTAATCTTAACAATCTAACAGATTTTAATCAAATTTCTCAAAAAAAAAGAAATTCTGTTAATGAATTTGTAGGCTTTCTATAAAACGGATAACGTTTCTTTCGAGAACAGACTGGAGGTATAAACTTAGCAAAATGGACTTTTATGGCTTCACCGGTATACTAAGAGATTTCATTTTAAAAATAACAATGTCAACCGAAAATCCTATAACCCCAAAACACTTGCTAAAACGATTCTTAAAAAAAAGAGCGGGAAAAAATAGACTGCTCCAAATAATTTTCCAAATTATATTCTCATTACTAACTATGAAAAATACTATAAATAATAAAAAAAAAATTTACCTTATTAATAGAAATTCCTTGCTGATTATCCGTGGTAAATCCAAAAGGGTGGATGAGGGTGGAAATCCAAATCGAAGAGGTTTCAACAGCAGCCGTTTGTGAAGGGGAGCGTCACTAAAAAAAAAAATCCCGTGAAACAAGAGTTCGCACTGCGAATTAGCGTTATTGATTTAATCACACGATCGTCACTTTTGATAATTACTAAGATTTAATTAGTAAATCGCGGTATCACTTATATAAATAATAATTTTCGAAACAACTTTGAAATCAACTAATGCAACAATAACACACCCTAACTGATCGACTTGCCGTAAGGAACTGACGAACGCAACGAAGATTTCCGATTGCTGCATTCGGGTCGTGAATCGTGCAAGTTCGTAAACACTCGACGCTTGAGCCGAGTTCGAGTCTTTCCCCTCCATAAAGATGGTGGGGCGCGATAAAACACGGTGAATTTCTGATTGTGATGGAAAGAATGATCTGAGAAGTCAATATTATTGACTTGAATTAGATCAAAAATATTATATTTAGCAGTATTTTTATAAATTACGAGAAAAATTTCCAATATTGAATAATAGAACAATTAATTATCAATGATTGCAGTGAGAAGTTTTTTTTTCGTTAAAATTATGTTTCATTTAATAATAAATTGTATTATTTAATATAAAATAATAGTTAATTTATAAACGCGATAAATATTTCGCTGTGAGAATATAGTTTATAATTTTGTCTTGTGAGCATTGTATTCTAAACTTATAGTAAATTTGTGATCACGTGATCAAATATTTTCGTTGCAAAGTGTATACATACATAAAAAAAGTTGTGAGAATTCTAGTGTTGCATTTTATAAAAACTACCATTGTTTTTAATAACTGATCTATTGCCCTTTTTTGTTTTTATTGTTGCGTAAGAATTGTTTGATATTTATAAATTCTTTTCAATAAAGTAATAAATTTCGATTTTTTTTTCTAAAAGAATGTAAGGTTATGATAATTGTCAAGAAAAATGACTTTTTGTCTAGAACGTTAAATACCAAATGTAATTTTCTTTTTAAAGCCTAAGTGACCTTAAACAAAAATTAGTTCCTCTAAAAATGTAAAATGACCATTAAAACTTTCATAAATATACAAATTTCCTATTTAGTCCGAGTTAATTCATGTTATTATTTTGTCACATTCAATTTTTTTTAAGTATCCTATACCGGTTGTTTTGTTGCGTAATTTCTGACATCTTTTAGCTCGTTAATAACAATCGTTATATACATATATGCTTTACTGGAGGTTCTATAATATATTCAACAATAGAAAAAAGTTTAATACTAACCACAAAAATTACTTTTTTCCTCGTTTTATAATCCTTCAATACATAATCAATCCACTTGATATATAAATAAATTACTTTGAATAATTAAAATATAATTCTTTTTGTTTAAACATATATAGCAATATAGAGGAATAAAATAGAAATGTGGTTGTGATTGTGTTTTATTAAACATTAGATGTAGTTATCCAGTTCCAATAAGGAATAGAAGCTAAAAAAAATATTTTTTCTAAGCAGCGCAGGTTCTGCTTCTTGAAGAGTCAACAGCTCACTGAAGTGGTGGGAGAAAACGACCTATATTTATAGACGTTGGCACCAAAAGCGCCTGCCAATCAGCGCTACCGCAGTGAGTGCCCGGTCCAATCAGGGCATAGCAGCCAAATGCTCGAAGTGCTCGAAGTATAAAAACTAGTTTTCCCTGCGCGCACGCTCAGTTCCGTCTTGGAAGTCATCGAGGTAACATCTATGTCGCTTGAAGAAATTTTTTTTTTTGAGAATTTTCAATTTAGCAAGCACTGAATTCCCCCACTTTTTTGCAGTAGAAGAGAAGAATTCAAGGTCAAAAGAAAAAAGAAGACCTTTTTAACATCAAGATGTTGGACAATGCAGGTATAAAATATGAATTATTTTTAATTGTCATAGCATCAATCAATATATATGAGGATAATACAATTAATTGTATTTGTTAAAAGTATATATGAATTTTTTCAAATTAGGGATTTCTTTTCTACACCATTCCTGAAATAAATATTTATTTTTTTAAGCGAGGATAACTTTTTTTAAATTATAATTAGTCTTTTAGACTTGATGGAAATTAATAGTATTGAATTAAACATTGTTACAGAGGAGGTTAATTAATTTTTTTTTATTTAATTATATAGGTATAATTTGCTATATAAAATACATAATTAAATATGTAAATTTATTTAATTTTTCATCGTACTAAAATGAATAACTCTTTGGATAATTGAGTAGTATTGTGACGTCACAAAGCACACCAAGAGCGGTAATTACCACAGATATTGTGTTTTATCGACGTGTATATATACAAATACAATGATATGTGTCGATAAAAAAAATATCTGCTAAATTACCACTTGATCTTCACTATGACGTCACACTGGACTTCTCAATAGGTGCAAGAGGAAGTCCCAAGTATTTTTTACTTGAATGCGCGCGCATTGTTGGACTTAGACTTCCTCTTGCATTTATTGTAGAACTTTCATAATATTTAACACAAGGCCTTTATATATAAGAAAAAAAAAAACAAACGACAAAATGAGCAGATATATTTTGATTTTATTGCCTCGTGACTTATTAATCGCCATCGGTTATCAGAGATAATAAGAGAAGCTGAAGAAAACGATTCAGTTCTGCATATAGTAAAGGTGGTCAACGAACTAAAAGCCTTTTAGGTTACAGTGAAATAAACAAATGGTGTATATTCGACGATTATATAGAGTGAAATAGGAAATGTGTTTGAATATTTTTTCTTTTATATATAATAATTGACATATGTCAGTTATAAAAAAAGTCTTTCCATAAGTTTGAAAGACTAATTGAATATTTTTTTTTTTTTTTTTGTAACAACATCGCTTACCCTTGTACATTTTGTTGGGATTTTTTTCAGCTGGGATTGAGAAACGCATGGAATTAGCGCGTATGCATGCCGATAATGATCTCGAAGCATCAACTAATCCCGGGAGCATCTTAACCTTGGATGTGCTTCGGTTCCTAGGTGGCATTTCATCTGCACATCGACCAAGGGTTATCTGCACTATTATTAGAGGAACCAGAGGAAACTATAGTCCATGTTTTCTCACTCTGATGGATTCAACTTGAAACTTCTTTCATGCTGCAAGGGGTCAAGTGCTGAGTGTCAGGAATTCTGATTAGGTAGTATAACTTTTTCAAAAAAAAAATTTTTTTTTTACTTTTTTAAAAAAAATTCTCATTTTGAGAATTTTTATTCAGGAATGATTTTTTTGTGAATTCCAAAAGAATATTTTTTATTATTTTAATTTAGTAATTAACAATTATTTATATAACAGTAGGTTTTCATTTTTTTTTTCATTACAAAAAAATATCTTTTATTTGAATTTAGTAATTAATTAATAATTATATAAAAGTAGATCAATTTCTTTTGAAAAATAGAAAAAAATGCAAATTTCCAAATGACGGACATAATTTAATTCGGTAAATGAAAGAAGTGTGGGAATTTTTTTTTTTTTTTAGAAAAAAATAATTAGTCTGGGAACTTTTAGTATTATATGAATGGAAGGAAATCAAAATTGAAATAAGATATATGATGTATCAATCAGATAAATAGTCTTTAGGAGCGTGGTTCCAAGTTGGAACTCAAGGCAATTACATGTTCAAGTAGCCAAAGTCATTTACCCTCTTTTAATTAACTAGCATTTCACTTGCATTAATTATCGTATACCCTCTAGAATGATATAGGAAGGTTTATATGTTGACTCTTTGAGAATCGTGTATCATTCGACAGATTAATGATTTTACTTTCGTTTGCACGTATAGAAATATATATATATATATTTATTTCCACTCGTTGTTACTTTGTAAAACGGAAAAGTAATGAATTCCACTTTCATGCGACCAGGTCCTATATCGAAGTCAAGCACACGCTCTTATTCATCAGGGTGAAAAGAAAACAATTCATCGTGATATATTCACTTCACGAAACTCACAGAGTCATTCTGTTCTCAAGAAAACCATTTCCTTTTGTTGTTGTTTTTGTTTTATTAGGAAATGATATTTTATTGTCACAATTTTCAAATAGAGTACTTTCTTCCCTAGATTTTAAATTTAATTAAGTCTGTAATTAATAATTGATTTCGTTTCTTTAAATATCGAAAAAAATATAATTTTTTCAAATAATTATCAGATTATTATTTTAAAATTTGAATGGCAATTTAATGTGATAAATTTTCAAGTAAGCAGAAATTCGATTGGCTCAATAGAATAATTGAAATACGAGTAAGGTATTTTTTTTTTTTATATTGAAACTTGATGACACGTTATTCAATTTGAGAAGGAAAAGTAACGGTTATAGTATGCCGTATCGAATATTCAAAGAGGTGTACACGTGCATTCTCAATATATTGAAAGAAAAACCACCGAAACGAGACACATTTTATGTATACGCTTGTAGAATATTTGCTCGATTTTGGATTAAAAAAAAAAAATAAACTTTCTAGCGAAAAGGAATTATTGCAATCTTTACTCAAAAGAAAGTCAATGAAAGTGATGTAAGTTTGCATAGAATTGTCATTTGACATTCCTTTGTATGTTTACGAACTTCAACCAATAAAGAAAGTTCATTTAAGAAAATTAGCACGATCGTAAAATTTATAACCCTATTGTAAAAGGATTTTTATTAAATCTAAAAATAAAATTAGTTTCACTTTTTAAAATTAATTATCAAATTACTGATTGGAAATTTTTATTTTTTTTTTTTTTAATTTTTCTCCTTTTTGTCATATTAGTTATTAGAATTTATCTCTTTTAATTTACAATTCCTCCTCGCGAGTAAATTTTGTTCACTAAATAGATTCGATATATTACCGCACTTTTGATATGGTGACAGAAAATAAATGTTTGCTCTTGGATAAATCGTTAACAGAAACCAGATCCTTGTTAAATTACGTCGATGTTTTAAAATAAATATATATGAATGGTCGCGCGCGCGAGGAAGTGCTACTGATTTAATTAAATGTTCTCTCCTGCTCGATGGGATAACCAATTATTTATTCAAGTCGTATTAAAACACCTTGGAATAATAATTATAAAAGCGAACTCTAAAAAATAAAAAACTGCGGCATTTACTTTATTAACTGTATAGTTTGCTTTATTAAAGCAATATTTATAATTAAATTTAAAATAAACGATCGTTATTTTAGTTCAATTTTTTTTTTAGTTTCCAAATTAATAATCGTTATAAAGCTCAAATGTCTTGCACAACTAGATTTTCTAACTGCTGGGGCGATTATAATTAACTGTACGTAGGTGCGCAATAACAATTTTAATCGAAACAATAATTACAGTCATAATGTCATTTCTTGTACACAATATATATATATATATATTCGTTTGAGCCAATCGATAAAATTATGTGACATTCAATGTTTAGAAAAAAAAATTCTTAACAAAAAAAATAATCCAGAAATTGCGATTTTTATTTGAATATTACTCTCTAAATCTGAATTAGTAAAAATAATTACTAATTTAAATTAGTGACTCACTTTTTGCTTTAGAATTAGTTAAATTTTACTAATTGTTAGTAAAAGTTACCAATAATTAGTCAAATTTTACTAATTCAGAAGCAAAAAGTGAGTCATTAATTTAAATTAGTAAACATTTTTTACTAATTCAGATTTAGAGAGTAAAAAATAAAAAATATTAATTAGAATCATTAATAGATAAAATCATTGGAAATATATATTATTAAAAAAAGAAAAATCCTCTTGTTTTTTATTAGAGGTGAAATATAAAAAAACAATCTAGAAATTTTGAATATTATAAAAAATAAAAAATATTTATTATAGAATCGTTGATAGATGAAATTAATGGAAATATTTTTGAAAATTGTTTCTATACTCGGAAAATTAAGGTGACATTTGTGTTGAATTTCTATATATTCGAATCGTGCACCAATTCATTATTTTCTTCACGTTTGCCAAATCACACCCAACTCCGCAATCTATAGAATTAACATTCCTTATATAGAGGGTATATATATAAAATCGTGATTGGATATTCCCATATAGATTTACAGGTTTGAAAAACTCCATTATTTATTGTTCAGGATGTTTAAATTTTGTAGATAAAATCATATATATGTATATATAATATATACTAAAGTTGAATATTACGAAAAGTGCGTCCAAAAAATAATGTTTCATTTACATTCAGATCAAGTTGTTTGCACGTTTTGCCCATTTGCATATACATATGTTTTCTTCAAAGAATAGGCCCCACATTTGCACCAATATATATAGTAATAATTTATGTGATTTCATTTGGACACTATAAATATATTATTTGAAACTATAAAAGAAAGCCGACAAAATATCATTGAAAGTTCAAATGTTAGATACATAGGAAATTAGCACGTGAAATTATGCAATTTCACTAATGACGAGGAAAATTTTTTTTTTTTTTTCTATTATTTCTAAATAAGAAAATTATTATTAATAAACTAGAAAAAAATTTATTTTTTATTTATTTGAATTTATAAATAATATATTATAAATAATAAAAAGAAAATAAAAAAAATTTTACCTTTTGGATAAGAAAATGGTTGTTTTTAAACGAAGCTGAAGTACACAACGTTTGTATAAACGATTTTTAAAGAAATAATTGTTTAATATGAAAAATTCTTTAATTTTTTTCCCTAAAAAATATTTCTTGTTGTTTTCATTAATCAACAAATTATAAAAAAAATATTTTTTAAGCAAAAAATTATAGAATTTTTCATTTTAAAAAATTATTTCTTTAAAAATCATTTATATAAACGTTGCGTACTTCAGCTATACGTGTTTTTAAATTAGTTGCACTTTTTCAAGTTTCTTAATATAGAGTAAAAATCTGAAAAAAAAATGACAAAATTGAAAAAAGCTTTTAGTCATCGTTGTATTAAAAATGTTTATTTTTCTAAGCAAAATTGATATGTAGGTAGGAGAGAAAATTGACAGAATATTTATATTTTATCAGATGAATGGTGGGCGAAAACTTGGTTTTATTATAAATTTTTTTTTAAAACTTTTTATTGTGTTTCTATCAAAGTTTTTAATTCCGTGGCGCGTGGGTGTAATTTTATTTCGCGATATCGTTGCAATGTGCATTTTGTATTTTATTATTATTATTATTTGTTGAGTAAAGATATGTAATTCGATTACTCATCCGCTGAGGTATAGGTCAAAATAGATCGGTTAGTCAGACGTCACCATTTACTATCCCTATAATATATGCTCATACGTTTAAAAATAGTACACATTTATGTCGAAAATAGTCTCGGTGATAATTTATTTTTTCTTCTTCTAAATAATATAAAAAATCAGAAATCAATTTCAATATTCTTTTTTTATATATAAAAAAAAAAATGTGTGAAATTATTCTAAAATTAAATTGTACTCAATTATTTAATTTCTTTTATAAATTTAATTAGATTTTTGAATTATTATTGGATATTAAATTATTAGTTTTAATTTTTTGAATTTTTTTATTTTATAGTATAATAGTTTAAAATTTCAAGTGTAACATTTATTATAAAAAATTATTCAAAAGGATTGAATATCAAATTAAAATGATTGATAATTGTGAAAATTAGTTTTTTAGAATAATTTTTCACTTTTATATTAAAGAAATATTGATTTACGTAGTACCATCTCCTTAAATGGTCCATTTACGCGAAAAACTTTCAAGAGCAGAGTGGCGCAGTGGAAGCGTGCTGGGCCCATAACCCAGAGGTCCGTGGATCGAAACCACGCTCTGCTAAAATTATTTTTTTTTTACATTTATTAATTATTCTTTTAAATAATTTTTTTTTTAATCTGTTATTATAATTATATATTTTGTTATGAATAATCAAATTTTAATTTTTTTTTTTCAATGCAAATTTTTATTATAAAAAAAATAGCAACGAAATGTTTTTATGGCAAGAAAATGTATTCTTTTTTGTATGATATTTTTCTTTTGAATGGAGAACACTTTATTTTTTTTTAAAAAAAAATTCAATAACTAAAAAGTAGGGAGGAAAAATTAAAATGAACCCTTTAATTTTCACGTCCAAATCGAATGAATGGAGATAATGTTCAAGAAAGACAGAATGAGGTAAATGGTGAACAATGGCATCCGGGAGTTGCCATTCCTCTGTCATTGTCCTCCGATGAATCTCGAGGGCGGGAATCTTGAACTCGAGACAAAAACGAGTTCAGAGGTTCATCAGAGTTCATGGGCATAAATTTCAGTGGGTGTCGCATTTTAAACTGAAGGTGAATGTAATACATGTGTATATGGAAAAAAAAATATATTAAAAAAAAAAAATAAAATAACCCAAAAAAAAACACACCGATATAATTAAATGTCCAAGAAACGCAGTCATTTGGATACTTGATTTAAACTCTTGTGGTTTTTCAAACAACTGACATGACCACCATAAAAATTTTTACGAACTTGCTACGGACATCACTCGAAAAAATTACCAACGTCATTTTATTATTTTTTTACATTTTGCGCGCGCGACTTTATTTTCAGTAAGTCTCTTAAAATGATTTTTTTTACGATTGTTCTCATGTGTCTCTTTAATTAATTAACACGATCAATTATTTATTATTATTATTACAGTCTGTAATTACATATTTCGAGGGTATCAAATTTCTTATTCTTTTTTCCGCATAACTCCAAAAAAAAAAAAAAAGTGCACGCTTTCTAATTTCGAAATTTTTTCGAATAACTGTACAAAAGGAGCGCCCCCTCGTGAAATTTCGACCTGCTACCTCCTCCTGGCTCTATTATTAAATTGCCGGCTCGAGCAAAATTTTCAAAGCATAGCCCGTTTTTTTTTATGGAGCATATATAAGTGCCTGTTCTACTTTAAAATCCTGGAGGCCTAAAAATTTTTGCGTGTGTTCCGAAATTAACAAAAAAAAATTTTTTTTTTTTTTTTATGAAATATTATCAACTTTCTGAGATTTATATTTTTATTTCGTAAATAAATAAAAATAATTACTGTTTAAATGTCGGATTTAATTTGTTTAAAAAAATTGTCTTTCGATTGTGTATGAATTTTTTTTTTTTTACCAAAAGGTTTTAAATCATTTCGATTTGAATTCATGTCTTATAAGAAAAAAAAAGGAAAGAAAGGATTGAGAGCACGCGTAACCCCGGGGTCGCTATTATTCAATGTTTGCATGTCGGATAAAAGATAAATGACAGAGTGGCCAGACCGCTTGTCAAGATCGGGGCAGACACCGCGCACACAAGCTCCCTCCAAAGAGAGATGAGATTCAAACAGTGAATCCGAATCATTTCGGCGCGTGGCACAAAGTGACCTTGTGTGTATGCCCCTCACTTTAATATAAATTCACCATCAATCATTTATATATTCATTTTATTATAATCGAAAATTTAATTCCAAAAAATTTCTAATCCTTTATAATTTATATATGAAGAAATTCTCATCACATTTTTTGAGGTGACAATGTCTTATTATACTTTAGGTTTAGTCTCAATGTTACATTTATTTTTGTCAAAATTATTATTCTAATTTTGTTTTAGTACAATGAGCCAAAAATTTTGAACGTTCAAATGAACAAAATTTTTTTTGTAACTTCTTTAAGTAGGAATTTTATTACAAAATATTGTTTTAAATATATAAAAAGAAGTTATTTATTTAATATTTGTTTAATTTACTGTTTTATTTTACAATAATTTCTAATAATTTATAGATTGAAAAAAATATTTTGTTCATTTGAACGTTCAAAACTTTTGGCTCATTTAGTACAAAATAAATAGTAAATCAAAATTTTATAAAATGAATTCTTTTTCGCAGATTCTATACTCGATGGTTTGTGGTGTCCTGAAAAGAGAAGAGCGAAAGTAAAAAAAAAAGGGTATCTTGAAGAATAGAGAAATCTCCAAAATTCTTCAATTGCTGCGGACTTTTTAGAACTCGGTCTATTTTTACGGTTATTTTTCACATTTTCCGAATGGAAATTTAACTTGAAAGTAGGGATCTCCGAGGGCTATTTAGTTTGCAAGAATCTTCGTGATGCTGAGAATTTCTTATTAAGGTAAATATTTTTTTTTATATGAATCGCAATTTACAATTTTATTCTTATTCGATTTTGAACTTGAAATTTGTTTTCGTTTTCGATCTTTGCAATTCGCATTTTTGATTCGGTATCTGTAGAATTTTTTTTTGGAATCACTATAAATAATTTTGAATAAAGTTTTTTGTTACAGAATTGTTAGTTGTTTTGATAAATATTTGATTTATATAACACAATCCTTGAGAGATAATTTTGATGAGTAAATTTCCGAAGTAAATGGACCAAAACGGTTTATTTTGATGGGAGGCCGAGACCTATAAATGTGAAATATATAGATATTTTAGAGGTTGCAGAACCTATGAAAGCTTTTATGGACAAAGGACGTTCTTGTTGACCGCACACACGTGAACGAATAATACACACACACACACACGCTTAAATCTTTGGGTGCGGGTTTTATTGGCTTAAAAGTTCGCTGTCCGCGATGCTATTTCGGCCTTGTGCTCTATCGCTATCCTCTTCGTCATTAGATTATAAGAGAGAAAGAGAAAATCTCTTCCTTCGGGCCAACATTTGTTACATGTTTGAGAGCGATGTCAGCCACAAATTGAACATCGCTGTGTCCATCATCGCATACCTTGGCTTATCCCTTTCGTTACTTGTTCACAAGGCATACCACTCAAAATAACAACTAACACTATATTCATCTTCAAATTTATAACTGCATTTATTATCTTATTCTTCATATTAAAAAAAAAAAAATTATTATTGTCTTTAATTTTTGCAATAAAAAAAAAATTCCAATAGAGTTCATTCACCTTTTTTTCTCAAATAGATTGATATATCAGGGGACAGTCACTTTTTAATTGATTGATTTCTAAAATATATGAAGGTCAATGTTGGATATATCTATTTTTAAAGTATTTGATTTCTATCGTTAGGTATGAACACGAAACTCCATTTATTTTGTCTCGATATTATTTTTATAAGAAATTAATTTTTTTAATTTATTTTCGAAAAAAAATAGAATTGAAATAAAAAATTTCAAGCGTAGGGAAAAAGGGTTATAAACGTTGCTCTAAATTAAGTGCAATATAACGGTTGTTAAAAGTGGACTAAAATAGAGAGAGAAAGAGAAGAGTATTGGGTGAAGGGAGTGCGTAGACATTATAACGACGTCGTCTTTGGTTTTTTTTTTTTTTTAAATTAAATTTAAGAGGCTAATGAAGTTACTATTTTTTTCCGTAACATTCCAGATTCATTTTATTATCAGTAACTTTAAACAAACATCCTTGATTATTCATATAAAAGAATTATATTTTTTCTCTTTATTCTCTTGAGTAAGCTTTCATAATTTTTTTTTCTGTTTTTTAAGACCCTTCTTGAAATGGGACTAAGAAGAATGGGGTTCAAGGTCGTGAACCATAAAAAAGTAAATACAAAAAAAATTGCAAAGGAATGATGAGGCTCAAGGGGAATTATTAACAACAGATATATATGGGGTTTATGAGGAGTGATGACTTCGAATCTTCTTCTCTTTCTTTCTCTCTCGTAATAAAGTCATAATCGCGAAACATTTTCACATGCTCATCCCCCATATTCTTGAACCCGTAAATTTCTGAGGAACATAAATTTATTACCAATACCGCAATTATCGGGCAATTTTGCTTGAGAAATATCCTACAAAACAAGATACGATCCGCACTTGACAGAATATCTCTTTCTTTTTTTTTTTGGTCTTATCGTGAATCTTCGATTTAAAAAAAAATCTCATTTTAGAAAAAAATTTAATTTTAAAATAAAAAAAAAAATGATTAAAAGTATTTTGCACTTTATATGACTTGTTTTTTTAGAGAAAGAAAAATAAAATTCTAGTTATCGTATTTCTTTGAATGTAGGATAAAAATTAGGATATGTGATTCATATTAACTAATATCGTAAGCAAAATGAACAGATTTGTGGTGATTGGAATCGAAGACGTTTCCCGAGACCACAGCTTTTTGCTTCCTGTTTGCAAGGTTATAATTTTATATATATATATATACGTTGATCTATTTCTGATATCAATTGACATCTAATACCATCAGGAAGCTGTTTTTGATCTTATAACGGTTTAATTTATGTTTCCTTTATTTAACCTGTTTTATACAACAGAAAATAATTCGCGTGCGTCTTTTTATAAAATATTCAATTTTTTTCTGTTATTATTATTTTCATTATTTTTATTATTATTTTTATTACATTATTATATTACTATTATTATAATTTTTATTAATTAAATTATTCTTATTACTATAATATATTAATATTTATAATAATAATATTAATAATAATACAAAAATAAATTTATATTTTCGATAAATAAATGAAAAAATAATTCTATTAACAGAAATTACTTCTTGTGAAAAATAATAATAATTTAAAAAAAAAGATAAATATATGATTTGCTTTTTGGTATCCATAAAAATAATGAATTCACATTACTTGGAATCATTTCATCTTTGAATTTAAATAGTCAATAAAATCATTGACTGTAATTATAAAATGTTAAAATATTTCTTATTCACCATAACAAAAATATCTTTTAATAATAATTTTTAAAAATAAGAATTTTTTTCAAAAATTTTTATTTGGTGATAAATTTTATCGTTCATGTTTAATAATTTCCAATTAGCTATAAGCAAAAAATTAATATTGTTAATTCTTTTTTTTTTATTTGGAAAAAAATTTGTTAAAAGCTTATAATTTTTTGTTTTTTGTTGCAGATATAATATGTTACCTTCTTATGCCTCGAGAAAATTAATCAACGTTTATAAGGTAAGAGAACAAAATAATTATTTTTTACTATTAGATATTAAATTTATTTATCGATAAATTTTTCCCCATATAAATTCCATGGTAAAAAAAATTTGCAAGTAAAATTTGATAATTTTTTGATTAGTATATATATATATATATATATATTTACCAGAAGTAATTGAAATGCAAATAATGAAGGTTGATTATTTTCTGCATTAATTTTCTAATTAATCAGTGGGACTAAAATGAATCTTACAGCATAATTCAATCATTAAATCATTGATTAAACATTAATTAATCATTTTTTTTTTTAAAGAAAAGGAATATAATTAGAAATTCATATAAAAATTCACAAATAAGTTTGAAAATTATTTGTAATATTTATCAAATTAATTAAAAAGTAGATTTAAATATATTTTTTTATTTAATTCAAATAAATTTTGTTTTCAAATAAAATTTTTCTTTTATTGTTTAATATATATTATAATGGAATTTTTATTTATGATAAGTGTCACTAAATTATCCCTATAGAACAGTTGATGATATTTTTGCTGGTAAATTTAGCGGGACGACGAATAAATTTTCATGTGAAATTCAAACTTTGTCCGCGATGAATATCAGAAAGCTTACTTTGGAAACTTTCCACGTGTGTTGTATATAGTCGCACGCTCCGTCAAAATTGTAGAGAGAAAATCCCCAACGCCTTTCGACATTTGACATATGTACATTTGACTCGCACCTGCTGGCAAATATTTGCCACGCGAACGTGTTTATTGCATTTATGTTTTCTATACGAGCGCGCACGCTCACTTAAGAAATTGCATTATATCCGATTAATTATCGTTTTATTGGCAGAAAAAATAAAATCTAGTTCTGTTTTCATTCTCAAATGTCAAACTTTTGTTACTCCATAAGAAACTATTTTTTCTTCAAAAATATTAAAAAATAGGTTTTTTTTTTTTTTAAATTGAGTATATCTTTTTTCGAAATTGAATAATTTTAAATATATATATAAGCAAATCGTTTGTTTTTTGATATGGAATTTCTAAATTCAAAGATATATTTCGCCCCAATTAATTTCTTAATTGTCCGTTTATTGCTGGCTTTTTCCCAACATTCTGACAGATCCAAGTTAATTATCATCAGTCAAAATGAAATGAGTAGAAAGCATTGGTTGGCGTCATGTTTCGTTATGCGAATTCATCCGCAAAAACGTGACACACGACGATGTCATCGGTATGCACACGTGATGTAATAGACGTTAAAAGTTTGACCCGGATTTTGTATAGGTTTAAATCTCTTCCTATTGCACTGATTTTTTCTGAAAAATATATTTATTTTCTAAATCAATTTTATTGAATTATTTTCTCTGATTAATTTTACGATTTAAGAAATTAAAAATTTAATTATTTTTTTTTTCAAATTCCATTTTTCGGAGTGGATAATTTTTTTTAGGATTTTTGGCATTTGCAATCTTTTTCGCTTTTTCCTTATCTTCAGGCGAATTATGCGGGAGATTTCAGATAGGAATTTTGGCGCCAGCTCTTGAAATTCTCATCTTAAATTTATTTTTCTATGATTTTTATTTTTCACAATGCGCAATGTCGTTGTTAGATCGTTATTTTTGGCAAACATTTTTGGAGCCACCAAAGCGTTCAAATACCGAGACACTATGTCGTCCAATTGCATAATTTGCAAAGTTAATTTAAAAAAAAAAAAAAAGAAGAAGAAGGCAGCATATAATCCGCGAAGTTATTCGTAGTAAATAGAGAAAATCCATTTGACCTTTATAAAAGCACATCCTATTTGTACATAAAAAAAATATTAATTAATTCAATGGTAAATTAATATATTAATCATCCAATGAATGAAATAATAAATTAATTACAAAAATAATAAAGTTACTAAAAAAAAAAATTAGTTACCAAAATAATAAACTAATTACTAAATTAATAAATTAATTATATAAAATATAAATAAAAATGATAAATTTTTATCAAATTATTATCTGGGAAATATTTATATTTTTTCGTAATTAATTTTTATTCCTTTCTTGATTTTTTTTTTATTTTGTACAAATATCGAGGAGAAATTTTCGCATATTTAAATAAATTTTTTTTTATTTATTAATAGAAACAGTATAGTAAGTTACGTTTGAAGAATATTTTCATTGGGTTATATCATTCGAAAGAGCATTTCTCTTACATTATTCACTCGGCACGATTAGCAATTACGATGACTCTAATTAGTTATCGCCGCTGTCTCGAGACATTAAAGTTCCTCTGTCCCATATTATTTTCTACTCTAAGCTTTCATAAGTGTCATCCTCGTTATCGTTTTCTGGCACTCAAATGCAATGTTGTTCCAATTACCATCATCGCATATTTTATCCTTCGATATAAAAAAAAAAAAAAAAAAAAAAATGTTCATCTTGTCCCAAAGCCGGAGTTTAAAATTTTTTTTACGAAAGAAATGCTTTCAGTTTTTGGTTAAAAATTTCTTAAATTGTTTCTATTCGCCACTAACTTTTTAATAATAAAATACCTGTTTTTTTTTAATGAAAAGTAAATCAAAGTAAAGAATAATTATCAATTCGTTTTTTTTTTTAAATTGAAAAATAATTATTTTTCTTTCTAATAATAATCTTTGTTTTGTGATTATAAATATGATATTGCAGAAAAATCATCATTAAAAGTATTTTAAATGCTTCTCATTAGACTTCACTTGTTTGCAATATTGCCACAACAATATTTAGAAAAATTAAATGCCACTCTGATTAGTGTCTTGCAATCATCATAGGCTCATCATCATTATCATCAAATGAAATCGTGTTATTATTGTTAATTTATAGTAAAACAAAAGCAAATTTTATTGAAAATTGATGTAACCATTGAGTAATATTTTTATGATTATTATTTTTACAATAAAATTTGTTTGTTTAGAAAAAATAATTTTTTTTTTTTGAATTTTTTTTGTTTCTAAATTAGGGTTTTAATTATCTATATATTCGAAAAGACATTCTGCTTCTGAAAAGATCAAAGAACCACGTTTCTTTGAACGATAAGAAAGCGTTGACATCGTTCTCCTTTCACTCATCTAATCAGTTGCCCTCGACTTCTTTCAGAGAGAGAAAGAGAGAGAGACTCGATATCGACTTTCCAGGGACATTCTGAGAGGGCATCGCCTTGCACGGATTCTCTTCTAAGGCGTTCCAAAGACCTTTGGCTCTTCGAAGTCTATTGTACCTGGCTACCGCATTTATTTAACTTGCCTCGTTAGAGCAGGGAAATTTATTACATAGTCGAGAATTGTAACTTCAATTCTACTGTTGACTGTTCCAATCGTCAAAGTTCTCTCTTGAAAAAAAAAGTCATTAGAAAGCCAGACATTTAAGAAACAAAAAAAAATAAATAAAACGCTTTTTTCTTCTCGGTCAAAAAAATAAAATTTTTAAATTCAAGTAAAAATTGAAATTTTGAAATTAGTCATATTTGCATTTTCCAAAATTGAGATATCAAATTTCGAAAATACGTTTCAAACTCTCTTTCTCTCTCTCTCTCTCTCTCTCTCTCTCTCTCAAATAGATAAAGTATCAAGAATTAATGCCCTCCATTCTGACAGAATAATTAATTAGGCAGCATCTGCCAATTTTTTCTTTAAACTGTAACTCAATGAATACTGAGTACATTCCGGGCACAAGGCCAAAACGCAATTTTTAGCGTAAGAGAGTGGGGGGGATCGAGGGAGCTTATTTGCGGAAGCAGGAGAACGATAAATTACTTTCAGAGGACTTTCCAAATTCCTTTCTTTAAAAAAAAAAAATAATAATTTTTGAAAAAAAAAATCAACTTTTTTAAAATTATTTCCATATTTACAATTTGATAAAAAGAATAATAATTTTTTGCATATAAAATAGTTTTAGGTTTGCTGAAGAAACTTAAGTGAAAAAAAAATTTATTTGATTCAAATAATTAGTTTACTTAACTATTATCAAATAAATATTTATTTATATTAGATAATTATTATTTGTGTCCAATTAAATGGTATTTATTTTAAATACAGAAATTTTTGGTTCAAATACAGAAATTGCTGATTCAAATACAAAAATTTGTTGGCTCAAATACAATTTATTTAATTTAAATAAAAATTATTTGGTTCAAATAAATATTTATTTGATAATAGTAAAGTAATCGATTATTATGAAATAAATTTTTTTTTCAATTGTATATCATTTTTTTAGAAATTTTGTCTTTATGAGAAAGAAGAAGTAAAAGTGGCTAAAAAATTATTATTCAAGTTTCTATTGTAAGCAAATATCTTATTGCAGGATCATTAAATTGAAACGGAAAGGAAGGTTCGATTGTTGATTTGATTTTTTCATTATTTGTTTTTATGGCTTATTGAGATCGAGTGAAAGCATTTGGCTTATGGATGCCCTTAGGTTCTCGGGGTGAGTCAATATAGCGTGAGAGTCAATATAGGTGCCATTCGCTCGATTATTAGGAACTATTTTTTTTTTATTATAAACAATTTACTTCAATTTACAAATTCATATTTACAAAAATTTATAAACATAAATAATAACAAAAAAATAATTATTATTATTAATAATTAGGTTTATTATTAATAATAATAACCAAGTAATATATTTTTAATTCGGAATTTATATTTTCATTTAGAAATTTTTTTCTTTTTCTTACATTTATTGTCTTTTAAACATCAGTATAATGGGAATACGACAATGTCTTCGTTTCTTTAACAGTGATTAAATGACATAAATGCATCAACGTGATATTCTAATTTGTCGTAATTTGTAAAACCTAATGGTCACAGTCGAATTATTTTCGTACTCTCTTGTTTTCTCCAACAGTCGTTTTCCGCATCTTTTCATATAATATCTTTTTTTAAATATAAAATATAAAATTAAATTAAATATTATTTCACATAAATTTTTTTTTATTCAAAAATAATTTTGCAGAATTTTAATTTTTAAACAAATTTTCCGTATTTTGTATATAATTTGCATAAAAGAAAATATTGAAAATATATAATAATGTTAATTAATAATAAAATAAAAATTAATTAATTATTAAATACGAATATAAAAATTAATGATGTGATGAGTTTTATGGAAAAAAAAAAGAAATTTTTTTATTTAGTTAAATATTTTTTTTTTTCCCCGGTAGCGGAAAATTATTTGAAATTTTATTGTTACAATAGTTTTCAAAGAAATGAAATTACTTTCACTGTAAAATTAATTTTGTGTTTTCAATTTTTATTTGTTCTCTATTTCAATAATTTTCAACTTTCCTGTTTTTTTTTTTTTAATTTTTCTCGCAGATTTTTTTTTTTTATTACTAAAATTGATAAAGAGAAAAATTATATAATTTATCTAATTATTTTTTTTCTTGTTACAGATTATACTGCGTTTATGGGATCTCCGTGTATATATGTGTAGTGTGTGTTAATGTTTTTTTATAGTTCGTGAGTGATAATTTAAAAAAAAAGTGAATTTTTTTCCGAGTTAATATTATATAGTGTCAAAGTGAATTTCTGCATATATCAATCAACATAATCAAGGATTCAAAAGCAGTGTGTGTGTGTATCTTCGATATCGGTGAGTTTATCTTTAAATTATATCAAAAAGTTGATATTTATTTACTAGAAATTAGAATTATTTAGATCTATTTCGTATTTAAAGAGATAAATGTTTGCAAAATTTTACTGAAATTCTCGCGTATGGAAAATTGCGCTCAAGATGCTGAACTTTATAAATAATTGCGTAAATCTAGAATTCAAATTTCATTCACTGAAATGAATCTTATGTGGAGTATATATTTATATACCAGAGATGGAAAAATTAACTAAAGATAGTATCATATATAGAATAACTGCGAGAATTTAATCGTGAGCATTGAGCAATAGTCTCTCTCTCTCTCTCTATCTTTCTCTCTCTTTTTCTCTCTCTCGGAAGGGCGCAACTATCTTTGCGCATAAATTGAGCATAATTTGCATAATTAGAATAACTATTCCTTATAGTTCCTTTTACTTTTTTTTTGTTCTACAATTTATACAACGATTAGAATCAAATCCATTTTTTTGCTACACAACATCATTGACCATTATTTCTTTCTTTTTTTTTTTTTTTTTTAATATTCATTAGAACTGAAAAAAATTTACTTCATTCAAATAATTGGTTAACTTGACTATCATCAAATAATTATTTTTTGAGTCAATTAAAGGGTATTTATTTCAAAAATAAATTGTTCAAATTATTTCATTGAAATAAAAATTATTTGGTTTTCAAGTAAATATTTATTTGATAATAGTAAAATAATTCTATTATAAATTTTTTTCCGTAGAAGAAAATTTTTTGAATTGTTTTCTTTGTTTATTATTGTCTTCTCTCATCTATTTCAACATTGTATAGAAGTAATCAATTTGATTGTTTTCTGATTGCACATACGCATATATTTATTATTGTCAGTATAAAAAAAAAGGATTGGTCGCGATTTATATATCTTGTTTTGTTGTGAGATTAACTCCCATAATAATCAACTTTAAAACCAATTATAATATAGGCTAAATTCCTCGAAGTTTGCTTGCAGAGGCTCCCTTTTTAAGTGACTTGCATAATATAATTGAACCATTATCCGGTGTCAGGTGAAATGTCGATATAGTACACACACATATATATATATAGGAATCGTTATTTTATGATCAGTATAGTCAAGTAAAATGTCGCAATACATTGATAATTATCATTGCGCCTGTTCTGTCAGGTTAATATTGCTCTCTATTGGATTATTTCACCAGAAAATTATTGCTGTTGTAAGTTCGTTGCCTCTTATATATATAGTGACTTTGAAATTGCTCAATGACCCCTAATACAAAAGGAGTAAAATTTTTTTATAATTATGAAACTTACATTTACTTACTGTTTTTTATTGATTTATTTTTACTTATTTTAATAATTTGGATTCTCTTTTGTCTCATTTAATTCTAGTCCCGAAAATTTTTCCATTTATTAGAATTTTATTAGAACTTATTGTATTTATTTATTTACTTATTTTATTTGTATTTATTTATTTACACTGAGAAAAAAAATTTAGTGTTTGCAACAAAATTGTTTGGTTAGGCAATGTTGGTTCTTGTAACCAAATTTTGGTTGGCTGAAACAAAATCGTAGAGTTATCTCAACCTAAAAAATTTGGTTGAGCTAACCAAACATTTTTTTTATGTCAACAAAAAACACTCAACCAATTTTTTTGGTTGACTCAAACAAATAGTTTGGTTGCTTAAATACCAACAAAACTTTTTTTTTGGCCCAACCAAATTTTGGTTGCTCTGACTAAACATTTTTCTCAGTATACTTATTTATTTATTTGTTTTATAATTTTAGTTTCTTTTTCTATTTTTGATTTCTTTTTATATTTTTTTTTCATTCATTTTGCTAAAGAAGGAAATGAAAAATTTAAAAAAATTGTTTTCGGAAACTAAAGAGATTAAAAAAAAACCTACATTTAAAGCATAAATAACTGTAAAAGACGTAAAATATGCATACATATTATAGACTTTCAAAAAATATATATAGTATAAATAATCTCATATATAATATATATTAGTAGACAGTAAACGATCACCAATTAATTAGACTTTCCAATAATTTTGAAATTCACACGTATAGAGTTAAAACATCATTAGTCAATTGATTATAGCAAAATTACGTAAAAGGAATTGCAATTTGACATTTAAAGGCAGTTTTTTCGCATATAGCTATTTACGCAGTTAACTTGGTATACACACTATTTCATTTTTTTTAACATTCTATAATCTTAATCGGCATTTATCGAACAATTGTGCGAAAAGTTAGCTTTCCAAAACAATTTAGAAAAATTAATTATTTCTTCTAATAAAAATTCTATCATTTACCTTGATGGTGTAAAAAAACTATTTTTATTATTATTATTATTATTATTATTATTATTATTATTATTATTATTATTATTATTACACTGAAAAAAAAATTATTTGATTAAAATAATCGGTTACTTAACTATTATCAAATAAATATTTCTTTGTATTAAATAATTATTATTTGAGTCAATTAAATGGTATTTATTTCAAATAAAGAAATTATTGGTTCAAATACAGTTTATTTAATTGAAATAAAAATTATTTGGTTCGAGTAAATATTTATTTGATAATAGTAAAGTATAATTTTAGAAGCTGTTCTTTTTTTAAAATTGGATTTGGAATTGAATTTAGAATATTGAAATATTGAATAATATATTCGTATCGGATTTAAACCGTTTTGAGTATACTCCGTAATGATATAGATGCGATTTGCTTAGATTTGAAATTATTTAAAAATAACATTGAATTTTGTTTATTAGAGGCTATTGAGCAATCTGACACTTCTATACAGCACACATACTATGGCATTTAATAATGAGCTAATCATTAAGAGTATTTTACGGTTCGGCATAATAATTATATGGAATACATTTTGGCATTTACCATACTAGGCCTATCACGTTTTATCATGTGGCATATGCTATAAACCACTCCTTTCCTTTATATATATTGGACAACGATATTGATCTTAAATCAAGTCCAGAAAACTAAATCTAAAATACAATCATTTTTTTTTTCTAAATAAATTAAAATTCCAAATAAATTTATAAAATAGGAAAAATTTTTTTTTAATTAAAAAAGAAAGATTATTTTGAAATTTGAAAATGAGGTATATTTGATATGTATGTATCGATTTGGGTTTTTTTTTCTCTTAAGAGATAATGTATGAGAGATAGCAGACGAATTCCCTTTTTTCTGAGATAACCTTGCGTAATGTATATATATGCATTGCATGTGAAATTATTGCCGACCAGGTCAACTTGCATATAATACCTTGACATTTGGGATTCCAGGGTGAAAGTAATATTCCTCCCATCTTGTTATTTCATCGTGCGAACTGCGCGTAATTGTTTTTGCTGCATTTGCGTTTACGCAAATTATACTCTCCTGATCTGTAAAACTATATCTTTTCAATACGAAGTGTAATTTTTCTTTTTCTCCAATATCCCTATATTAATCTAATTTTTTCTTAGCTTTATCGCGTGTTTCCTCAATCTTGAAAATTTTGAATTTTTTATAGACGATTTTAAAAATTCTTTATATAAAGGGTTCGTGATTAGATTTATCAGTTTTAGATAAAGAAAATTTTCAGTTGAAAAAAAAACAATTAGTCAATATGATAAGAAAGTAAAAGTAGAATTGTATATAATTAATTAATTAATTAATATTAAATCACCCGGCACGACTGGCAATATGCCGCGTGAGTTAAGAGAGGAAAATGCGGAAGACACACATTGAAGTGTAGTAAATGGTCTAATTTCGTTAATTATACTTAGAATATACTTTCTCTTAGAACGACTTTCTCTAAAACTATAATATACTTTTTAAAAAAGTTCATTTTTCATGCTCCATATCATTGTCGTTTTCATTTTTAAGAATTTTGTATGTATTTCAAAACAAAAGAATTTTGTATAGAAAAAAAATTATCTTTTGCAAAATTGCGTACAAAAATTATGTACTAAGAACAAAAAACAAAAAAAAAAAGATAGCTAGTTGAAAATAAAATTTTACAATATATGAAATAATTTATAGTTGCGCTGTATGTTGATACTATAAAAATCGTACAAAGAACGTTATCATAATAAACAGATGAGCAATAAATTAACATGTGCGTGATCAGGGTGCTTATGTTGTTTCTATATAGACGCAACTGCAGTGAAAATAAAAATATTTAACCGCACAATCATGATTGGCGACGTTATAAATATTAGTAACATCTTGGTGCGTTAAATTCTTGTTAAATATAAACTAGTTCAATATAAAATAGTCTCTTCTCCTTCTTCTCTATATAGGTGCATCGTCGCTTTAATTCTTTTTGAAAAATTATCATTATCTTCTCATTAAACACAACCTCTGCGTGCTTGTACCTTCTTTCAACTCTTAATTAATGAACATCCTAACCTCTGACATTATTTCATAAATTATAAATTTACTTTAATTATTTTAATATTTTCGCTCTCACTAAATATTTGAATTAGAGAAAATTTGTTCTACAATTTCTACTAATTTTTATTAAATTAATTAATTTTAATTAATTCTAGTTTTCCCTAATTTTTTTAGTGAAATATTACTATTTGATTTACTAATATCTTTTTTTTTTACTTTTAGTGAAAAATAACTGAAAATTAGTAGAAATTTTCCCTAATTTTGAATTATTGAACAAAATTTAAAGAGTGACTCATGTAAATAATAACATATCTTTTTCTTTTGCTTTCTATATTGGAGTATTGCGTTTGCTTGATAATTATTTCCCGTGTGTGAAAAAAAAATGTGTTAACCTACATATATAAACGATATGTTTTTTTTGAACTGATAATTAAAAATTTATAAAAATCTCCTACTCTAACCGTGAAAAAATTTCAACTCTCAAGGCTAAAAATATTTAATAATTTCAGCCTTGAATGTGTAGAAATGCTCCGTTTAACATTCCGGGTGGATTTTTTTTCATCACCTTTTTAAACCTATCTCTCTGTCTCTCTC